TGTATACTCCTCCGTCTGAGTCTCAGCATCCATTTTCTCCCTCTCTCTCTTCTTTCGCTCATGGATTTCTGCACGCAGTTTATCAACCTAAAGCAACACAGACACAATGTTATCAACAATCTTCTTTTGTTGACACGTTTGTTTTGGGAGCCTCAAAGTGCTCCTTAAACCATCAACTGTCCCTGTTCTCCACGAGCACCTGGCTCACCTGCTGTCTGAGGTCTTCATTGTAGCTTTCTGTCGTCTTCTGGAGTCGTTCGCTCTGGCTGAGCTGCTTCTGTAACTTCTGAAGTTCATCCTTACATGTCTTCAGCTCCCGTCGCAGCGCCTCTGCTTGTGATCTCAAAGACACAAGATCTGCTTCCAAACCCTGATCACTGGATTCAGGGTCTGGGTTTCCTTCTGCAGCCATTGCTGAGGCTGTTCTACCTAAAATGTAGATTAGAATAAGAAAGTATAGTTTTCTGCATTAAAAAAAGATAAAAATGTCACATAATTGATTCAAATCTGAAGAACTAAAAGAGTTAAAGATACATCAATACATTCTAAAATACAGAAATGATAAAATGATATGAAGTAAAAAAACAGTAACTAAATAAATTACTTCAGTTCCACTTTTTATGTCAACAATTATCTCGTTTGTGTCACTTTTATTTATTAATACATAAAAACAGCTGCGAATATATTTTAAGGAGGGAGAGTTCCAAGAGCTCATAATTTTATTTTTGGGAGTTACTTGAAAACTCTTAACTAGACTAACCAATCAGTTAAGGATTGGTTAATATACATAAAATGCAAATAAGTATGCACAACTGAAAACGTTGCATTTAAAAATGACAATAATCTGAGAATAACAATCAACAAAAGGTCTGAAGTAGTTGTATATAATACAGGATATAATAAGAAAACATGAAACAATCCACAAGCTGTGTTTTGAGTTGTATGCCACATTCTCCTCACCCGAATGTAAATCACCCGTTTTCCCTGCGCGCGCGTCAATCTGCAAATCAAAGATAAACATCATATGACCACCGTGCACTGGACACATATTCGTGTAGAAGTTTGTGTGATCGTAAAGTGCGTTACAGGGAGCAAACGTGATGAACTTTAATTCCACTTCAACAGACGCTGCCATACTTTCACTTTGTGATGTCATGGCTTACTTACTTCCGCGTCACTTCCGGATTTTCTATGGCGCCACAGCGCCCCCGGTGTAGAAGTCATTAAAGTGCGTTTGCCCGAAGTGACAACCTGTTACATAAATTATAATGACATATTCAGTCATTCATTCATTCATTCGTATTTATTTACATTTTACCTAACCCTGAGCGAATTGTTTATCATGCAAAGGAAAGAAATGTAAAGAGAAATTACAAAAATAATAATAATAAAAAAAAAAAATCTTAAATTCGTATTTCTTGGGACCCATGGATTATTTATTTATTTGGCTAGTTAGCTGGTTGTAGAGGATTTTTTTACTCAGTTGCTCCAAGATATTCTAGATTTATTTATTTGTTTGTGTGTGTGTACTAAAATTGGTTTGGCCATAACTTACCGGTATTTTCTTTTTATTTCTTTTTTTTTTTTCAAATACAAATTTTTTTTAAAACTGCCAATACCAGTAGTTGCTCATGAATTACAAAAAACAAACAAACAAAAAAAAAAACCCCAATAAAACAGGAACAGGAAGCATATACAATATTAATGTAATATGTTTCATATTGCATTTAAAAATGACAATAATCTGAGAATAACAATCAACAAAAGGTCTGAAGTAGTTGTATATAATACAGGATATAATAAGAAAACATGAAACAATCCACAAGCTGTGTTTTGAGTTGTATGCCACATTCTCCTCACCCGAATGTAAATCACCCGTTTTCCCTGCGCGCGCGTCAATCTGCAAATCAAAGATAAACATCATATGACCACCGTGCACTGGACACATATTCGTGTAGAAGTTTGTGTGATCGTAAAGTGCGTTACAGGGAGCAAACGTGATGAACTTTAATTCCACTTCAACAGACGCTGCCATACTTTCACTTTGTGATGTCATGGCTTACTTACTTCCGCGTCACTTCCGGATTTTCTATGGCGCCACAGCGCCCCCGGTGTAGAAGTCATTAAAGTGCGTTTGCCCGAAGTGACAACCTGTTACATAAATTATAATGACATATTCAGTCATTCATTCATTCATTCGTATTTATTTACATTTTACCTAACCCTGAGCGAATTGTTTATCATGCAAAGGAAAGAAATGTAAAGAGAAATTACAAAAATAATAATAATAAAAAAAAAAATCTTAAATTCGTATTTCTTGGGACCCATGGATTATTTATTTATTTGGCTAGTTAGCTGGTTGTAGAGGATTTTTTTACTCAGTTGCTCCAAGATATTCTAGATTTATTTATTTGTTTGTGTGTGTGTACTAAAATTGGTTTGGCCATAACTTACCGGTATTTTCTTTTTATTTCTTTTTATTTATTTATTTTTTTTCAAATACAATTTTTTTTAAAAACTGCCAATACCAGTAGTTGCTCATGAATTACAAAAAACAAACAAACAAACAAAAAACAATAAAACAGTAACAGGAAGCATATACAATATTAATGTAATATGTTTCATAACAATGTTTAGAAGCCATGGACAAATTTGGGTTCATGTATCTTTGCCAGCACTGTGTTTATATAAAAATACAACTAATTAACATAATTTATAAAGATCTTTTTCAACATTTTATCAGTGTTGCAAAGTGCATCAAAGAATATTAGCGTGAAACCTAAATAATGGGAGGTCTGACGTCCTAAAAAATAAAATAAAAATAAACTAAACATAAGTGTTCCAATTTTTAATGTAACCCCTTTAAACTGACACTTATTCGGTTTTTAATAAAGCACTACTTTATGACAATTAGATTTTGGGCAGCAGAGGGCAGTACAGCCAAGTAAAAGAGATGTTTAAAAAAATCATTGATTTCTTTGTGTTAAATGTTTTAACCTTCCAATCGAAAAGTTCTGAGTTTGGAAGCCAAACTGTCTGTGACGTCCCTCATTCAGGATATGAGACTAAATCAAATTAAAACCATGTTTATTTTAACACCTGTGTCAGGCTGCAAGGTGAAGAGGATGAGACCCCAGGTGCATTTAATATGAAAGAAGCTTAGAGGGCCGTAATAGACAGGAAATAGGAAATCAAGAGATTTACGCCACCTTGCTTTCCTTCACACCGCTTGCATGGTTATATGCTGCCTCAAGCGTGCGCTAATTGGCATTTGCAGAAGAGGTTTTAACGGAAGGCCTGAAACACATTGATGTGCTTCCTTAACTGTTAAACAAAACTGTGAACTTTACGCAAACACGAGAAACTTAATAATTTATGAGAGCGGGATGCTCATCACAGGAGTGAAGTTTTTATTTAATTACTACACTAGTTGTGACTTCATTAAGTTGACAGGTTGAGAACTTGTCATCTGAGTGGCACACACACACTCATTCAGTGCACACACTAACAGCTGACGTTAATAACACGACGTGTGAGTGTCATGACCCACGAGTAAACCCTTCCCGTAAACAGTGCATTATAATAAACCATCCGTCTTGCTTGAGTTATGCAATATTTCCATGCTGATTAACATTGCTTGGACCGCAGCATTAGCTATAAGCATATACATGTAATTAGCAGTATTTGTTAAATCAAACATCATAACAACTGCTTATACTTAGGGTTACTGATTTAACCCTGTAAAGGCTACTGTATCATGTTTGATATGCACATTTTTAAAGCCTCTAAATTATCAACATGCTCGAAAGCCTCATACTACATGCCTTCTGTTGCATGATTGCTACATTTACATTTAAATTTATTCATTCATTCAGCAGACACTTTTATCCAAAGTGACTTACAATTGAGGAACACAACAAGCGATTCATCATAAAGAGGCAAATTATACTTTTTTTTAGCAATTGAAAGACTTTAAAATCCACCTTCAGGTAGTAGTATGTTTCTTTTTGCAGTGAATCCTTTGTAATATTTAAAGATTAACTGTATTTGGCAACTTTGAATATCTATTAATCAGTTTTTAGAAAAATCATGTTAAAATGTGAGTATCAAATATTATCATCAGGCTTTTTGAGGAACATTTTTATCTCTTAATCATCATTGTATTGCATTGCATTATATGTTTACCCCCAACAATAAAAACTACAGAGCTTTTATCATAAAACTAAGCATTTAAAACACATCTTTATATTACACATATTGTTGGGAGACAGAGTGACAACTGATATTC